AATGGGGCGAGTAGGTTCTAGGGAAAAACCGGAGCTGCCCGCGGGCACGGGCACTGCCGGGGCCTGGGCTCTGCCCCCGGGCTGTCATGTAAAGCCTGGCCTGACATAACTGCGGTGTCGTCGCACTGCCTTCTGAGTTGTTGAGAAGGTCCCCTTAGAGTAAATCCATATGGTACGAAATCGTATAGACCCGTTTAAAACTGTTTCGCTGTTAAAAAAGTGAAATAGGGGTGCAACAGAAGGCACGGTGGGGAAAACGGCTGCGGCCAGAAGTTTGTACAGCGTGCCCTGTGTGTGTTGGTGCCTGTCAGAAGATAGGTGCTACTTTCTTAAAGGTTGGTAATTCTGAAGAGTAAACTCTTAAAACCAGTTGCCCCAGGAGGAGCTTGCCACAGGAGAGGCGGATGGGTGCCAGCTGCGCTCCCAGGAAGCTGATTTTTCTCCCTGAAAGAGGCAGCGGCGATGTCGGTGGTGGCCCGGCTGCCGGCGGGCTGGCTCCTCGATCATCTCTCCTTCATCAACCGCTGTGGCTACGAGATTGGTGACTCCTTTGCGGGCCCCGGTGGTGTCCCTCTCAGCACTTGTGCCACATCTCCTGGAGACTCTCGTGCTACTCCTGCCTTTGCTGCCACCTCCTCATCGAGAGGTGGTCCTCTTCCTGGTCCTGGAGGTGCGACAGAAGCAGAAGATAGAAGAGCGAAAACGAAATATGTGTTTCGAGAGGAGCTCTTTGCCGTTTTCAAGCCCCATATCGCTGCGGCTCCTGAGGAGCAGCTGTGGCAGGGATTCTCTGATGCGAGCCTCACAGAAACAAGGGCCAACAGCAACAGCGAGGAGCACAGACAAAGAACCGACAGTGGCGTTGGCGATTCTGTTGCCAGCACTGGGAAGGTATGTTCTCCGTAATGTAGTAAACTATGGTAATCCCCTGGCAATTAAATACTTCTAACATTGTATCACACGTTTCCATTTCCTGAGGTTATGTAGGTGAGCAGGAACTATCCTACAACATATTTCAAGATGTATGGAAAATGTAAGTACTCATGGGAATATTCTTGTGTCCTTTGTTAGTAATGTGCATCCTGTGATTCAAAAGCAGAGTTGCTCACCAGAATCTTCTGACGTTGGTTTTGGACAGGCACTTGAGCTGAAACTGGTAGTTGTCAAGACTGTGTAGATTAACAAGGAGGGAAGGACAATATGAATTTGCTTTCAATATATAAGTTGTTCAGTACTGTTTCTTACAGACCATTAGGAAAAAAGAGTTGCAGGTCTAAACTAAGAAACATAGTCAAGATGATGTGGTTAATAGTCTCCTGTTATTGGTAAAATGCACTGGGCAGCTGAACAAATACCTTCTAGTACGGGCCCAAAGGAGACGTGAACATGAACTGTGGCACGCACTAGGTATGTTCAGATCCCAGTGCCATGATTAATATAACACACCTTTAAGGCTGGGTACCTTGAGAATGCCTAGGGCAGCCTAGATATTTTGAGATAATGTTTTTGCTATTGTTATACTTGTGGTGGAAAAAAAAAAATGGAAAATTTCTCCTGCTTTTAAAAAAGTTAATTTGCAATTCTGGAATGTTTATCTTTTTGCTTTCGTCACAGAGTAATATGGATTTTTTTTTTTTCATTGTTTGCTCATTCTGCAGAAACGTAAAAGGAAATGTGTATTCAACCAAGGTGAACTGGATGCTTTAGAATACCATTCAAAGGTAAGACTGAACAAAAGTATATTTTGCAAGTACGTGATATCTGTCCTTGGGCGTGTACGGAGTGCAAGACATAGTTGCAAACAAGTTCTGTTCTTGTAGCTTGTTCCACTAATGGGAAGGTCATCTTTGCAGTTCTTAAATGAATAAGTACCTACAGTGAATGCCTTCAGTGTAGATATATGTGGAACAAACTAGACATGAAACTGCAGCTGAGACGTTTCAAAGAGCTGGAAGCTGCTTTCACAGAAATATCTTTTACTATAATAAGTACTGTGATGGATTGAGTATTAATTGATAGCAAGTGACTGATTTGAGACCGATTTTGAAATAAACAGCATAACTCGTTCTCAAGATCAACCCATCTTTAGTATATTGGGACACTGTCCTGAATTTATTCAAGCTTCTCTGATCAAATGTGCTCCCAGATGTTTCTAGTCTGCTAGTGAGAAAGTATTTTTCCCTCTAAGATCTTACATGGTCATGTTAAGGCATTGTGAATGAGTTAGAATTCAGGTTTTTATTTAGGCTGACATTGGTGGTGTACTGGTGAAGCTATAACTGAATTACACTGAAGCGTGTTAATAAATCCTAGAAATGTAATCTATGGATGGTGCTCGGTGTATTCTTGCTGCTTTCCTAAATAGTGATGTGAACCTGAACTAGGACCTACACTTGCTTTCTTTCCTCTGAAAAAGGTGTTGGTCATGCTGGGCTTTTTGTTTAATTCTGTTCCTCTTGGACTGCACTTAAATGGCTATTTTTTTCTTCTTTTACATGGCAACAGCTTCATTGTAAACAGGTATAGTTTGCTTTGATGCAGTGTAGAGGTCCTGTAATTATTGTTGTGAATAAGCTATACATGTGTGGAATTGCCGTAAAGAAGAGAATTTTGGAGTTCAACATCAAACAGAGCTTTATGAATATGAAAACTTCTAAGCTGAAATAAAGTAATTCAACAGTAAGAATAAAGGAAGAAATGAAGATAAGAAATTTAATGTCTTGGAGGCCTGTGAACTTCATATGATTTTTGGTGAATATGCAAAAAAGACATAGTTTTGAAAAATCTGTAATCCCAGTTAACCTCCAATACCACTCACAGATTATAATGACTTTTGTCTTACTGTATTTGTAGTGTTAAAGGCTGTAGCTCTGCAAGTCAGTTCAGATTATTTTGGCACTTACTTGTATCTTTGGAACTGTTTTCAAAAAAAAAACCAAACCCAGATTTGTGTTTGCCAGTGAGAGCAGGCGTTGAATCCATTTATAAATTTCAGTCAGAGTCAACACAGGAAACAGTATAACATATGTTGAATTCCTTCAGCAGCTATTTGGTAAAACTACTGTTGAGATTGCTTGATAGTCAGGATAGTCCACCTGCAAATTGACACTTGGTTATAAGAAGAAAAGCCACCTGCATGAATCCAGCTGTTTGGTTTGTAGCATTTCTCAAGATACATTTATTAATTCTGTTAAAGCAGTATGAACTTTTACTATAACAGAAGTAGGTACTAAAAATTATAACTCAGTCTTCTCAGGTATCTAGATGGTGCTGCTGTTAAAGAAATTATTAAAAGAATATTCCTTCCTCCCATAATCTGGAAAATGTAATAAGTATTTTGTAAAAATATATTGTGAAGTAGAGGATTCCATAATAAGAAGCTTTAGAAAGCATAATAAGTGTTTGAAACCTTTGATAAATCCACTGTAAGTGGCAATATTGCTATTCTAAATGAACAAAAATAACTCATTGATAGTTAAAACTCATAAAAGCTCAAAGATTTGGGAATAAGACAGATCTCTAAATTTTGCAAAGGGAGGGTGCTGAAGTGAATGAGAGTATATACAGATCCAAGGATCTGGTCTTCCTGCACTCACAGATTGAGAGGTGTGCCTCTTAGAAATGTTGCAAAACCAAATTCTAATAATTTAATTTAATGATTGTACTTCCATATTGATTTTAAAGTTCCTAAAGTATTGTTTTTTGAAGTGAATTAAAATGTGGAAAAAATACTGATTCGTAGATCTCAGTATACATCTCAATTAAAAATACGTTTGTGGGCACAGTCAGTTGAAATTGGATTAAAATTTTAACTTCAAATTATTGTTTCAAAACTTAATGTTTGTTTAGAAAAATAGTATTCCACCTCTGTTGCCCGTGAAATATTTTATTTAGTATTCTCTCGCTCTTTCTTTCTCTAGGCTTCTAAGCATTGTAACTCTACAAAAAAAAAACCTGAAAAAGACCAACAACAAAAGTCAGCATGGCCTTATTATCGTGCCCTTCTAGATTTTGAGTCAATGGTCTCGGTGTTTGGCAGCGATGTCTTTCCCACTCTGCAGACTGAAAATGTTTTTATTTCTGTCACATTCTCTGTTCAAGTAGGTACTTGAAAGATCTCTGGTTTTGTTTCCCCCCTTGCCTTGTTTCTTTATGACCGTACAGGTCAGGAAGCTCATTTGGGAAGGCACTTTGCAGTTAGTCCAAGAAGGACTCAAGAGTGGTTATCTTCACGGCGTGACTGCAGAACACAGCTGCTGGAAGAACGTCGTTCCTGGACATGTGGGCTGTGGGCTGGTGGAATTATGTGAAATGGCAAAGCAGTTTCCAGCTGTGAGTGAAAGTGACCATCGAGCTGTACATGTGTTGAGTGACGAAACCTCTGTTCCAGAGCAGGACCTGCTTTCATGCGTTACAGAAAACCGCTCAAGCTGTACCAAGATAGTTGTGTTAATGGGACAGAAGTACTTGGTGCCACCAAAAAGCAGTTTCCTCTTGTCTGATGTTTCCTGTTTACAGCCCCTGCTAAACTGTAAGTATATTGAAGTGTTAAGAGTTTTCCACTTCTTTTCTGCCTGGGAAGAGCAGCTAATGTCAGGATGATTCAGGACTCAACAGATTTTAATATAGCATCATACTGGTAGGAAATGCTGCAGCAAGTTTTCAAAGTGGCGTTTCTAGCTTTGTGCAAGTAGTTGAGGGTTTTCAAAGAAATCTGGAGTGGTTAGGAGCTCATGTCATGGGGGAATTTCTGTCTCCAGGAGGCCTCTTTAAAAATCTCGGCCAAAATACAACAATTTGGGAGCATGTTCTGAGCTGTTGTTGGTATAGAAGTCGTGTAAATGCATTAAACTGGGTCTGGCCATGCTGCTGGGTCCCTGTCCCACAGAATGAGGCTTTAACATAAAGTTCATGGTGCTGCTAGAGTGGTGTTCCTGCTGCCTTGTTTTTTACCTAGATTAGACCACGGGAGAGGGATGAGATTATGTACCCTAAGGCAAGGATTCCCTTACAGATTTGTCCTGTTCAGTGGCAGAGTCTATTTAGATTGGCACGAAAATTTGTGAAACTAACCCTGGTGTCCCCCAGAGAAGATAACGTTTTGAGAGGCTCCTGCACCCAGCTGGAGGTGAACACCACTTTAGCAAGACCCTGAGAAGCAAAGATGAGTTGACTTCTTAGCTGGTACATTTCACAGCTGAGAGTATTGGCTTAGCTGTAATTATTATGTATATTATTTTATTATGTAATTATTATTAATATAAAAGCTTCATCAGACGGTCTTGTAGGAAATATGTTGCCTGTGAGGATTGCTGCTCTACTGGCTAATCAGTAATTTTAGATCTGTTAGTTATGTATGTTTCCTCTCTTCTAATATGCAACTTGGATGTTTAATTTTTTGATTAAGAAGACATGCAGGAGGTGAAATCTTCCTATCCAAATAATACTTTTATATTTGAGGTCCAGAACTTAGCCAGTTAGCTGTTTTCAACTTTTGCTGTGCTATCGCTATGCACAACTGTGCAAAAAGCAAGTTTGGATTCTCCCAGACGTCAGAGAGCAGTCCAAGAAATTTGAGAAAATGCTTTTGAAGTAACCAACAGTGAATGTTAATATAGTGCTGTGACTCTAGATTTTTTTTTTTTTTTTTTAGGAAATATGTTGTCCGTTTTAGTTATTTTTCTTCTTCCCTTTCACCTACCAAATGAGACTCAGTGAAGGAACAAATACATTGTGTGGGGAAAATATAAAATTGGAGAGTCCTGTTTTTTCATGGATGTATACCCTGTCTTTGATCCTCCAAATAAAGTAAATCCAGCTTCTCCCATGAAAACTCTTTCAATTCTCTTCCTCTGGTCAGTTAATTTTCATTTCACGCATTGGGTCTAGCTGTCTGCCCCTCTTCACCTCCAGTAGTGCAAAACACAATTTTCAAGGGCTAGTTTGGAGCTCTGCATGTCCTGATTGGCCTGCTGAAAGATCAAACAGGACAGGAATCTTGTGTTCAGGGCTGCAGCGTTTCACTCAGCTGTGTGCCTTATTACGTAGCTTCTGTTAGGAAACTCAGAGAAAATTTCTTGTACTCTGCTATCAGCTGGTGGTTTGTTTGTTTTTCTTATCTGAAAGTCCCCAAAATGTTCAAAATTTCTTGGAGGGATCTGACACAGATCACAAACTTCCTTTCTTTAGATAATCAGCCTAGAAATCTCAGTAGTATACGATTAAAACAAGCATACTAGAAGCCTTTTAACTTCTTATTTGGAAAGAACAGAAGAAAGTTGTGGCTTTGCTGCATAGCTGACTATTTAAGTGTCTGTATGTTGGCAGCTAAGAGACTTTATCTGTTTCAACTACTAGATTTATTTGAAACTTAACGTACCAGCTTGCTTTTTTTTTTTTTACTTTCCAGACAAGAAAAAATATGATGTAATTGTAATTGATCCACCATGGGAGAACAAGTCTGTTAAGAGGAGTAACAGGTAAAATTTATAGTAAAATCAAACAAACGCCTTAGCTTACAAAGGGTAAGTAACATTTTAACACACTGGTGCAATTCAAGACCAATATAACTGTGAGACAGTAGCTTAAACTAGCAAATACTGTGACAGGTGCCTGCCTTCAATTCTGTGAAAAGTCTCAGGGATGTCACTGGAATGGCTTGGTTACTTTGCACACAAAATATTTGCAAGAGTAGATCTTAAATAAAGACTATTAGTCCTTGAGACATCAGGAAAGTCCGAAGTCAACTGTTTTGTAAGGCCCAGATCATGCAGATAGGGTTACCTCAGTGGGCATAAAGCGTGATAAATGTCTAAGTATTTCCAGGACCAAGTTCCTATTTACAAGTGGGGTTTTTTTTATTATTTAAAAAAATAATAATTTGAGCTGTAGTTTGAGCTTCAGTCTGATAGGTAGAAGAGACAAAGTGATAATGCACCAGTAAAATCCTTAGGTGCAATAGGAACATTCTGAGTACTTGTAGTTTATGAAGTCATTAACTTAAAACTTTATGCGCTTCCTTCTCCACTGAGTAACATCAGGTTTATGCCAATGGATCTGTCTTGATTACCACAGAATTGTATCCATGTGAAAGAAGGGCAGACAGGAAGTAAGGCCTTAAAACTTTCTAGAATAGTCCTCACTGTAGCTTTTGAAGCTTGTTATGGAGACGTAATTTGAAGATCTGGAGACTGATTAGTAGGTTTTACTTTGAAAGCCCTACAGAATCCTCTAGAAGCTCAAGAGTTAAACTCTTTCAAGTGTCTTTCTTAACTATATAAGTTACTCAGAGGAAAATTGTAGTTATACACGAGCACAACTTAGCCAGCAAGACCCTCTCTCCCTTATAAAATAAAGGCCAAGGGTGGTGACTGACTTGCTCTTAGTTACCTAATTGACAGATAATCTTTGTTATGTGTTTCACACCTGGGTTCTGATTCTTGTTTGCTCTGAGCAGCTGAGTCCAGGAGGTTATTCAGTCTTGTTGTAGTTCTTGCTGTTGTGTTGGATGGGGATCCCATGTGCGGAGACGGTGGCTATCGATTCCAGTAGCAGTTTTTAATGCTACAGTGTGTACGTTCCATGAATTGCAGCTCCACTAATAACATAGAACAGCATCAGGGGGAAAATGGTAGAACAGAATCTGGAAAGCACGCTGTATTCACCAGTGTGGCATACAGTGAGCTCAAAAATGTGCAGAACTGTTCTGAGTATCCTAGGAAACATTTACCATGAATGGTAATTTAAAAATAATAAATAACTTCTGCAAATAACTGGAGAAGTGATAATGCTTTTATGACCTTTTAACCTGCCCATCAAATAGTTTTGCCCTTGCACTTGTAAGTGATTCACTTGTCATTTTCATTCAGAAGAGAGATTCTTCATTATGAGAAGTGAATAATGTTACATTGACTAAAGAGCTACATTTCACAAAATAGCTTTGTTCTGGTGTGAAGATGAGAGTATTGAATTATGTATGATAGCTTTTAAATTAAACGTGGGCTTTTAGACTTCTTCAGAATCACAAATCATAGTACTTTATTTGAGGGAGTAGTATAAGTATGTAGTTAAAGGTTCTGCTCAGTAAAACTTAACTACATATACTAATGACTTTATATGAGAATCCATCAGACTTGGCCACTGGGTGTCAGTCTTGATCCATTTTTATGACTTCGGTTGTCAAGCTAATTCTTGAAACATCTTGGCTGTGTAATTTCCTTATCTGTTTGCAGTGTTTTGAAGTTTTTATGTTTGATATATGCTAATTTGCTTTCTCACTCTATTGGCATATAGATACAGCCACTTGTCTTCGTGGCAAATCAAGCAGATTCCTGTACCAGCACTAGCTGCTCCAAATTGCCTTGTAGTCACATGGGTGACTAATAGACAGAAGCACTTGCGTTTTGTTAAGGATGAACTTTATCCTCATTGGTCTGTGAAAACACTTGCTGAGTGGCACTGGGTAAAAGTAAGTTCTCAATTTGTTTTGTTGCTTTCTTGGAAAATGAAAGAGCTTGCACTATGACACTTTATATTATAATTTGTCTATATATATGTATTGAAAAGTATAGTATCATCAGTATTGTCCTTTAATTGAGGCAAATGTATTGAAAAATTGGATATGAAAATCTTCCACTATGTATTTTTTAACTCCTTTGTATCAGATTACAAGAACTGGAGAATTTGTATTGCCGTTGGAGTCTTTACACAAAAAGCCCTATGAAGTTCTGATATTGGGGAGAGTTCAAGGAGATGGAAAGGATGCCTTAAGGTATGCCAGGATATTTGTAGTAAATCTCTTTTTTGAGGCTCGCTTGTTCATAGAATATAATGCCCCAAAATCTCTTGATGTCATCTTTTGGCTGATCGTGGACCTAAAAGTGGCTTTATTAGCTTTGGGTTAGGGGGATGCTTTAGTGAGATTGAAGGATGGAAACCTTTGTCTGTTCCGTATATCTGTCTGTGCTGGGGAACTGGCTTGGATAAAAGCCTCGTGGATAGGGTTTGCTTTGGTGACAAGTTCTCTTGGGCCTCAAGTCTTTGGCACAAGCTGATGCCATTTTGGGGGTGCTGGTATTTTTCTACATGTGAAAACCTACAGAACTATGCTGGTTATTCTCAATGGCTTTAGCTATTGTGAATCACATTTTGCCTAATGCCTCAGTGATTTCATAAACTCTCTTTTATGTGTTACAGCTGAGGAACATTTAACTTCCCTTAGACTTACCTGAACTTTACCTGTGACTGAACATTCTGTGTGTTAGTTCTCATCTGAAGTAGCTCTGAGAGAGCTGCAGCATCACGTTTGGTGATATTCAGTCTCCTGCTTCTCTTCTTCTGATTTATATGACAGGAAATCTGAAGATGTACTTCCAGTTCCAGAACATAAGATAATTGTCAGTGTACCATGCAGTCTGCATTCACATAAACCCCCTCTTACTGGTACGTTTTCTTGTGTTGTGTAATGCTTCTGTAGGGCATTGGACTTGGATGTCTGAAAATGATTTACCTAGGATGAGATACTTCTGTATAAGAAATGCCTTAATTTCCCACATGCCAAGCAATTTTGGTCAACAAGACTTGGGATTCCTCAGCATTTCTAAAAATGTTGTCAGGCATCTTAGTCTTGGTCTCTAAAAACGAACATGAAAAGTACAACTTCAAGCATTATTATGTGAATATTTTGGGTAGATATGTAAAAAAAAAGTAAAAAATATCTTCTACTTTACTGATAAAAGTAGGAACATTTTTCTTTATCACATTGTCTTGAAAGAAATGTTTTTATTTCTGCATGAGTTGTTTACACACCTGCAGTATAGTTGTGCCTTTAAATCCCAAAACTTTATTATTTTAAAACTGTTAACAATAGACAACAAACAAAACAATACCTACTTATTTCTGAGGACCTTTATTTAATTTACTGAACTTGATCAAGTAATTCCAAGCCAGCCAGTTTTTGCGAGTATGAATTCAAGTTTTCAGAGTTTAATCCAAGCAATTTGAAGCTTTCTGTGTGATAAGTTACCTGTTGCACATTGTTTTGGAGCACTCTAGTTTAATCAATAGACAGTTGTACTTCCTTCAACACTATGACGCTTAAATATCTTACAGTAAAACCAGCCATTTTAGGAGGATCTTTTTGCAGTTTTGCAGCCCCATCTTTAAGAATTAGGGCTACAGCAGGAAGCATGTGTGCTGTTTTAAGGTAATGAATGGTGAGGTAATGATTTTGAGGCAGCCACCTAGGGCCTCTTCAGAAAACCAGTACTTAGCAGCACGCTTGAACACAAACAGGAAACTTGTGAGGTATCTGAGGGTGCAAACCAGCAGTTTGTGTGTATTATAGAGAATTCTAATGCCAGAATGGTCCTCAGAACAAAGTTTTTGTGGGGCAGAATGTGGAAACCATATTGGGGAATCTTTCATAAATGGTGATCCTGAATGGATTTTGACAGAAATTGTCCATGCTTAGTTATGTATTTATTGACTCTCTACTTGAATGCTGGGATTTGGTACTTTTGCATGGCTTTTATGTTTCTGTTTGAAACATGAATTTGCCCTTGAGCAATATCAGCGATTTCCAATGTTTTTGTAAAAACCTACACATATCCTACAGTTTTGGCAGCTTTATTCACAATATGGTTATGGAATGAAGAGGTAGAACATAGGACAAAAACTAATGGCTGATGCTTTGATTTCAGCGTTGTAAAGGATATCGCTTTCACAACCAAACAATATTCTCAAGTGGTCAGCAGAGAGCAGCTGAGCTACAGCCTGGAGTGGTTCAGAAGTTTTAACAGAAGCAGAGATTTGGCAGTGGGGGAGAAGGACACTTGATGAGTCTCATGGATTCTTTATGCTTTGTTCAAGCAATAACAAAGCCAAAAATACTAGTATTTACTGATGCTGCCTGGCACTTTATTTCTTGTTACTGCTATAAAGGTTGTATGTTGGCACATATGTAGCCACTTAATGAGTGATTATTACAGTTTATCTCACTGGGGGAAGAGAAAGATGTAAATTAAAGTAAGCCATCAAAGAGAAGTGTTTGGGTTCCTACAGTGCATTTAACCATGAAATTGCGACTGTAGGGGTTTTTGGTGATGCATGTGCTGTGCTCAATGCTTAGAGCTTTAATATGTCATTGTAAATGTACTTAAGCTTCTTTATGCAAATCCATTGAAATGAAATTGTATTACTCCTGGTTTTGATTCAAATAACAGCAGGTTTTCGTCCTAATTCAATTCAATGTTGTTCTTAGAAGACAGAAGGTATTCTGTTACACAGATGATGTGAAGTAATGTAGAACTTCAAACACCTTTTTCCTGTTTTGTAGATTCTTCTTGTTATAGCCATTTCTCCTCCAGTTTTTAAGTGTGTACATTTATTATTAGAAAATAATATTGTCATACAGGAGTAGACCTAAAAACATTAGAATTAATTCTAGGCTATGCTCTAGCCACTGTATGTATTTCCAGCAGAAGAGTGCCATGGGAAATCTTGGGAACTCCCTACTCCTGTAGCAACCTTGACTTGCTAGGCCATGCTATAAAACAGTCTGGGAAGTAAAAAGAAGTAAATGCCTTTTGTTTCCTTATGCACTTCGTGGGCCCTTACTGTTAGATTAATTGATAGGTGATAGGTTTGACTTGAAGCTTGGGAAAGTTGCAGAGATGTAAAGCCATCTTTGTGCTGAGTTTCAAATCTTTTCCCACTCAATTCGGGGATAAGACAAACGGGGCAGTAAGGACCTGAACATTGCAAACTCTTTTGAAGAGTTACTATGAAATAAATTCAGTCATGTCAAGCTTTACATGGCTGACAAATCAGACTGTGAAAAGCTGACAGTCATTTTCATTTAATATATCCAGTTTGCCATGCTAGTTAGGCAATGGAAGCTCAAAAGATGGAGAAACTGTTGCTTGTTTCAAAAATTGTTCTCCCTTTCCCTTATTGAAATGCATTTAGCAGCATGCATCTTCAATATGTATTTGGGATTAAGAGTGGGCGGGTATGGCAGGGATCCTGCCTGACTGCTGGATTGTATTTAGGAAGGAAGCGGCTTTTCTGGAAGACCAGCGGTGTATCTGCCAGCTGCCTTTGTGTGTCCTAAGGCATTAGATACCCAAGTTTAGATACCTGAGTTGCTGTCATAGTGTTTATGACACCAGCAAGCGATAGATGTTACGTAGATTACTCTTTATTTAAGCTGTTTGTTGTCAATGGCGTCTGTAAGTAGATAGAGGTAATTGTCTGCGTAGTTTCTTTTTTTTTTTTTTTTTAGAAAATCTATTCCCATGGTAGAAAAACCTAATATTTAATCCTTCTCCCGATGTAAATCCTCTAACCTGTTTTCAGAGGGGAAAAAATGTCCAGGGTTTGCTTAAGGGCTGCACATCAGATCCACACGTTAAGATAGCTTTCTGGTGATATAAAAGCCTGTCAAAGAAGCTGTAATTTGTGGCTCGAACACTGACTTTTCCTATTTTAAGGAAACCAGTGTAATGAGATTTTATGTCAACAAAATACAGACACATTATTGCCCTCTTGATATGGTAATTTCCATTGCAGTGCAAGTTACTGCCTGATGTGATTATGTAAATCCCTACAATCTAACAATGAAAAATCATACTATAATGTGATCTTGAATTATGTGTCTTCTGTCTCTGTTAAAAAAAAATAATCTGAATTCAAAAACGACCCTCTCTCTAGCAGAAGGAGTTCCTTTATAAGTTCTCTAATCAAATTGATTGAAAGATTGGCACAACCTTACTGCTTCTGCTGAACTAACCCATTGTTTGGCTACTTGTTTTTTGCATTTTGGCAATCCAGTCTTAGAGGTTGGTTGAACCTCCTAAATGTACTTTAAAATTTGTTCTCCTAGGCAGGGGACATTTTAGTGCTTACTAAAACTGCTTTTCATTACTAGACTTAGTGCTCTGATGATATTTTTAATCTATACATTTTAAGAGCAGATGTCAACATTACTAATGTGGTCGTAATGAAATTTTGTTACCTAGGTAGTTGCTTCCTGTATTTAGAAGCCTATATAAAATGTTTCTGTTTTGTTTTGTACCGAGCAGGGAAAAAGGTCATACTAAGCCTGACTCTGCTGTAAGTTTTGTGTGACCTAATGCCCATAAGGGTCAAAGAGGTATCCTGCAGATATCAGGATCTGCTTACAGAGAACTTAAGCAAAGCTCTGAAGGTTTCAGTTCTACAGTCTCTCCCTCCTCTTCTGTGGAAAAAGTGCAACCTCCTGCAACATGGACTTTCTTAGGTGATCAAGAGAATAGATTTTTGGAAGACCTTTGTTAAAGTCATAGAATCATAGAATGGTTTAGGTTGGAAGAGACTTAAAGGTCATCTAGTCCAACCCCCTGCAGTGAGCAGGGACATCTTCAACTACACCAGGTTGCTCAGAGCCCCATCCAACCTGACCTTGAATGTTTCCATTCAAGGGATGGGGTATCTACCACCTCTGTGGGCAACCTGTTCCAGTGTTTCACCACATTTGTGAAAAATTTCCTCATTCTATCTAGTCTGTATCTACCTTCTTTTAGTTTAAAACCATTGCCCCTTGTCCTATTGCAACAGGCCCTGCTGAAAATTTTGTCCTCAGCTTTCTTATAAGCCCCCTTCAAGCTTTGAAAGGCTGCAGTAGGGTCCCACTCGAGCTGGTCTTGTCTGGGTTGAACGACCCCAGCACTTCCAGCTTCCTGTCTTAGGAGAGGTGTTCCATCTCTCTTTATCACGTTGGCAGCAATTTATGAACAAGAAATCTGTAACTAAATATAGCATGGAAAAAGAACAATAGATTTGACCACACTTTTTAAAATTTATTTTTTATTATGGTGGGTTTGCAAAGTGGTATAAAAGCAGCTACTCATAGATGGTGTCTAATTAGATGAACTCCCTTGGCACCACACAGCAACGTTCAGTGCTGCAAGTTTCTGTCAGAATGTACATTTTCCTCTAAACCTCCAAGACTCTTCTCTGCGAATGTTAGATTTGTTTAAACATTTTAGCTTGCCTCTAAAAGAAGCAGATTTTTAGAATAAGATTCTGACTGGTAGCAGTATTTTTTAGATTAAAAGCTGCCTTGATGATAACCCATCTGAGACGTTCATTTGACATTTGTTAAAGATTGAGGCAAGGAGAACAGATTTACATGCCATGCCAAAATAGAAGAAAGCCTGGAAACAACCTTTACAAAATAATTACAAAAAAAATTTTGAATGGGTCAAAGCTTTCGAAGAAGTGATCATGTAGGTAGGAAATGCATCTGAGATTGGTTAGTGCTTGCTAGAAAGTGAGGTGAATGCTCATTTTTCTGCAGTGGGATCAATCCATGACAAAATCAGCTGAGATTTCACACAGGGAGTTTGTGACTGGTAAACTTAATGCAAAAACCTGGATTGCACCAAAAAACCCCATTCCCT